CATTTTACTCCACACCAACCATAAGTAAAACAACTAAAGTCGAGCCAATCTGTTCTCACACGATCGGGACCGCGAATTGAACAACCCCTTAGACTAAGGAGGAGAAAGGAAACAATAGATACCCGAATCAATCAATTCCCTAGTTATTGTGCATGTGGCTCGTGCTTGTGAATTTAAGGAAAAAAAAGTTGCACCAAACAGCTACCCTCCTTCCCTAATCCCTAGTTCTAAGTCTGTGAGGTATGAAACTATGAATAGGTCCATTTGGTGATGAAGATCCATCATTAATTCGTTTTTTTTTTCTTCTTTTTGAAAAAGAAGTTTCATTAAAGCTCAAAGATAGTCTAATACAGCAGATATGATTCCATCATTAATTCTTCTTTATTTTTGGGTGAATAAGATCCACCATTTATTCTACATGCAACAAGAACCGCTTTTACAGTAAGAAGAATAATTAAAGGTGATATGATTCCTGAGTTGCCACTGTTTAGGAAATTGTGGGCCCCACTGGATGGACCACCTAAGCCATTAATTGGGCCACTAATTAGCTCGTTCATTTGGATGATCCGCGTATCTCTTTGGTAAAGAGGTTTTTTGACAATCATAAAAACCTCCCCTATAAGTTTCATTTTAATAAAATCCTCTCCTCTAGTTTCAAACAATCTTGCAGTTACCTCCCTTCCATCATTGTTTGAGTTCATTATCAAGAAAAAACATTATTGTCTCCATAATATAGACTTTGTAGTTACAAAATTGCCCTTATTATGTGGTTGGAAACCTTTCAATATGATCAAAATGAGAGATTTTCCTTTTTAGACTTCACTCTATCATAATGAATTTACAAAATTAAATTACTTTATTCCTTAATTTGGCATAGAGAATTTTTTTAGTTAAAAATTAAAAGTTTTTTTGGAGTATTATAGTAAATCTCTATCTGAATTATAGACATAAGGGTAAAATGAGTATTTTTAAAAATTAATGCATTAGACTAACGTTTTATGGCTGGGGCAATGACGAAAGGGATTAAGGGAGGTAACGGTAGGATTTTTCAAAACTATAGCAGAGGTTTTTGTCAAAATGAAACTTTAAGGGAGGTTTTTGTGATTATCAGAAATCTCAGGGGAGGTTTTTATATTTTACCTTTTTTTATTTGATAAATCCCTTTTCAGTATTCACAAAATAGTGCCCACACTACTCTCACAGCTACTTGCAATCATGTATTGGGAATATTTTCATACTGCACAACTGCAAGTGGCTATGAATACGTATGCTATAAACACCATTTTGTGAGGACCGAATCCTAGTTTCTTAAACCTTCTCTGGGTTTTCTAAAAAAGGTATTTAAACCTCCTTGGAGTCCCTTCAATTTTGACCTGCCCTTAAACCTCTCTTGACTTATGGGATAAAGGGACTTACAAATATACCTTCGGTTATTTTTAAGTGAGAGAGATATTAAATGTCTATTACGCCCATACTAATTCTTCCTATCAAGTTGTTAGATTTTTTCTGATTCCAACTTTACCCTTAAACTGTTAATACAATAAATATATTTTAATATTTTATTTTTTTACTGCATAAACAAACCTGTTTTGGGGGTAATAAAGAGAAGTTTGAGGATCTTTTATACTTTTGGTTAAAGATTTAAATGTTTAAAGGTATTTCAGTCATCAAACATTTAATGACTTTACATAAGGACAAATTTGGTATTATAATATGGCTAAATCCATTCCAGTAGTTGCTATTAAATTTCTAACAGTAAAGTAATAGAAGGGGTGTATTTGTCTCTTTATAGGTCAAAATTGAGGAGAAGTTTAAGACCTTTTCAGAAAACCCAGGAGAGGATGCATTTGACATTTTTTATTTTAAGGACTTGTCTCTTTTTTTAGTTAAAATGCCCATATGAACATTGAGTTTTTAACTACAAAAAGGAAATAAATCTTTAAATTAAGGAATGCCAAATGCAGCCTTAAGGGATTTACCGCTTTTTAGGCAACAATCACACATGAATTTCAAAAAGCTCTAAAGACCTTTTAGCATTTACTGTCATAGATAAAATGGTTAAAATTATCCAGGGACTAAGAAAAATTAGGGGCAGACAAAAAAGGACTTGGGTCAAATTAATATGAAATGATCTTTAAGTGCCCACAATTTAATAGGGTTACAAGTTGGCCCAAGCTTGAAACTAGACCGAGGTCAAGTCTGACTTTCTAAGCTGCACCCAGTTCGTAGTCTCAAGTTGGAATAAAGACGAGGCTGGGTTTGGACCGGGCTTAGACAAGACTTCCTATTGGTTAGGCCCGGGCCCAGTCTGGGATAAAAAATCCAAGCTGGGTTGACTGAACTCAAGTTAGGATCACCCAAGTTAAACCCCTACAATTCAAAAATAGACATGACAATGAATAAAACAAAATGGTGAAACAGAATTCATGTAGCCCGACCTTATATGGTGGCTTAGACTACGACATGGCTGACTTGCTGTTTGTGTATTTTGATGTGGTATAACCCATCTAGGTCCTATAACCCTAGACCGGGGACCTCCCACTGAACAATGTTACAGTGGTTTGTGGTCTGCTTTCATCATCACCGTACGTGGGGGTCAACTTATGCAGATTTGGAAATCCTACAATCTTAGTGATTGCTGTAAATAAACCAAGCAAAATATAAAAGGATCATGTAACTAAACTGTATTTAAGTTCGGATTGGACCAACCCAGTTTTCAGTTTGGGTTGCATTTGCATTAGGCACTTGAAGGAGACCCGGTTTGATCTCCCTCAGCTCAGTTAAACCAATTGGGCACACCAAGGTCCTGGACCAGTATATTAACAAGTCAATATTGAGCAATTCTATTTTTTTTTTAAACCGAGTCAATATACATACCGACACACCTTCATACATAAATATTAGATAACTTCATCTGCAATTTGGGCTGTTATGCCACGTGGACTTGGATAATATGCCACGTGGCTTCACAAAGTGCATTGTTCATATGGGCATTAGAGTTTCAAAAGATGCATTTCCACACTCTTAATCAGCTTTCTCAATACATAACTATAATATTAATTGTTTTCATGCAAAACTCTATTCTCTTTCTATAATTCTATTCAAAGTTTTGTGTCGGCTAGAGAAGAGTTGAATAATACTTCTCAAACATTTCATGTGTGGAATAAAAAAATAGGAACATCAAAGCAATAGCCACTGGCCCCACACGCACAAACCAAACCAACCTCGATTCCTAACATCTGAGACCAAGCCAAGAGATCTCCTCAACTAGACAGTTCTCATAAAACAATATTACACCATCATCCACAGTACTATTCATACCAAGCATACATCCCACCTCCCTATATTCTATTTGATCAAGTCCACATCAATAGCTTCAACGAGTAGTTGAGAAGTAGGACTCTTCTGCATTCTTCATCCTCTTCAGGATCTGTTTGATCTGCAATTTTGATTCTATAAGCTTTGCAAAGCTAGAATTATGACTTCCTTCTACAAGCGGCCAAGTGTTTTCTTCAAGGAGGGAGGAGAAGTAGGCACAGTGGCATACTGTAAAGTTGTCAACATGGATTTGAGCGAACCTCTTTTTGTGCTCTGCAGCCAAATCCTTAGTTGACTTGTTGATGGAAAAAAATCCATTTGATCTCTTTCTCAGCGTTTCTTTTTTGCTAGGTGACCTAACAATTTTCTAGTGTCACCAACCAATTGGTCTGATAAGACTGCTAGTAACAATTGGATTTGACCACATCATGGAAAGAGAGAGAGAGAGAGAGAACCCCATTTTGAATTTGGCACATTGTTGAGATGATTCAGTCTAAGCTTACCCATTACTAAAGGTAAAAGCAGCATAGAAGGCAAGAAACCCAAGTAATTTATAGAGGGAATTTGTGATTCCATTTGGTTTCTAATGATGATTCAACCCTTAATAACGGATTAATAAGTCACAAACATGTATTAATCCTTTGGAGTGAAGCCTCTAAACATGGATTGATGAGTGTATCAGTCTAAAACCATGTACCCAACTTTGGTCGTTACTCAACAGTTTGGGAAAAAGTAGACGTTACTCTCTAGCTTCCTCACATCATATCATACACGTAAAGTTACAAAGTAGCTTAATTTGCAGTTAAAACTTAAAGGGGTCTGAGTTGCAGCATTGTCAACGCTTTAGGTGTAGAGACACTTAGGCAGAGGTAGCTTCTCACTCTCTACTCTCCTCCATCTCCATGTGAAGAAAGCATCTTCAAATCCGCGTAATCTCTGGCCATCCCACCTCTCCCACTCTTCACCCCGGATTTCAATTCCATCATTCAATTCAACTCGTTAATATTTCTCGATCACGCGCGGGGGGCTCCTTTAATGGGCCTGTTTGGGGCCTAACTCAATTGCCATTCCCTTCGAGGTTATTCATGTGTGATGTGGCCCACTATACATTAATTGGTCTTTTTTCTATTATTAATTTTTAATGTGGAATAATGGGCCCTCCAATCCAAAGATGAGATTCAGGGGAGGTTATGACTGGGCCAGAAATCAAAAAACAAAAACCAAGAAAGTACAAAGAGAACACTGAAAACAAAGCCTTATGACTAAACCGTACCGTTCTATTTAAGATGGTGTTTGGAAAACGGAATCAGTTTCTTTGAATCGCTTACTCATGAATCGTTGACTTTGAGGTTTTTTGAAAAATCATCAATCACTGCCATCATATTATTGCCAAAAATCACTTTTGAGAATGAAGAATCGATCCCTGATTCTTAGACTTGGTTCTAAACACAAAAATCAAGGGAAATTGATTTCTTAAAGAGACCAAAGTCCAAACCAAACCTACCAATGGGCTTTTGGAATTATAATCAACATAATCTACACAGAATCACTAAGTCATACTCACTGACCCTCATTCTACATAGGCCCATGTAAAGGTAAAAGCCCATTAAGCCCATCTACACTTCCCAACACCAATACCATGGTCCCACCCCTACTTAACTAGAATTCCAGCTCTCCACATGCCTCAAAGCCAAAGGCTCAAGCTTCCCGTCCAGACTTCCCTATTTCTCAGTTCAGGGAGAGAGGGAGAGAGAGAAACTCAGGAGTCAGGAGTCGGGAGTCTTCTTCTCTGAGACAAAACAACTTGATTCCTCCCTCACAGACGACTGGCCCATTCTCCTCTCCTTATCCTAACTCACCCACGACCTCCTGATCTCGTCCTTCTTCTCTTTTTAATCTACGCTTCCCCTCTTCCCTCCTCCCCCCTTCACCCGCCACCCCTTAATCGCTCCGCCAGTTCTAGGGTTTACAGAGCAATGGGGAAGGGAGGATCTCTGAGCGAGAGCGTCGTCAAGAAGATCCTGCTGTCCTACACCTACGTGGGCATATGGATCTTCCTCAGCTTCACCGTCATCGTCTACAACAAGTACATACTCGACAAGAAGATGTACAACTGGCCCTTCCCCATCTCCCTCACCATGATCCACATGGCTTTCTGCTCCTCCCTTGCTTTCCTCCTTGTTCGTGTCTTCAAGCTCGTCGAGCCCGTCTCCATGTCCCGAGATCTCTATGTCTCCTCCGTCCTCCCAATCGGAGCTCTCTATTCTCTTAGTCTCTGGTTCTCCAATTCCGCCTACATCTACCTCTCTGTGTCCTTCATCCAAATGCTCAAAGCCCTCATGCCTGTCGCCGTCTACTCGATCGGGGTCCTCCTTAAGAAGGAGGCTTTCAAGTCCGCTACAATGGCCAACATGGTCTCCATCTCCGTTGGTGTCGCCATTGCTGCTTACGGGGAAGCACGATTCGACACCTGGGGCGTAATTCTCCAGCTTGCAGCTGTCGCCTTTGAAGCCACCCGCCTGGTCATGATCCAGATCTTGCTCACTTCCAAGGGAATCACTCTTAACCCAATCACTTCTCTTTACTACGTCGCTCCTTGCTGTCTTGTCTTTCTGTTCATCCCCTGGGTGCTTGTTGAATTCCCCGTATTGAAGGAGATGTCAAGCTTCCACTTTGATTACGTGATCTTCGGGACCAATTCGTTGTGCGCGTTCGCATTGAATCTCGCGGTATTTTTGCTTGTTGGGAAGACCTCGGCGCTCACCATGAATGTTGCTGGAATCGTGAAGGACTGGTTATTGATTGCATTCTCGTGGTCGGTGATCAGGGATACTGTGACTCCAATCAACTTGTTTGGATATGGGCTCGCGTTCTTGGGTGTTGCATATTACAACCACTCGAAGTTGCAGGCGCTTAAGGCCAAGGAGGCACAGAAAAAGGCAGCTCAGGCGGATGAGGAGGCTGGACGGCTGCTCGAGGTGAGAGAAGGGGAAGGTGCGGGTAGGAAGGCCGATTCACAGGCCTGATTCTATACTTGATTCAGATAAAATTTTTCTATCTAACAAATGAGCACAGGAAAGAAAGGACCGGAAATGGGTTGCCTCGGATGGATTTCGAGGCAGGTTTCCCATTTGGGTATGTTTTTTGTTTTTTGTTTTTGTTTTTGTTTTTGTTTTTAGATATTCGTTTTTTGTGTTAGTTCATGGTGGTTAATACTGAAGGATCGAGTTCTCTGTCTGTTTTCTACTTTGCCAATTCCTGTATTTGAGTAGAGAAAGAATCTCGAAGCTCTTCTTTTTCTTTTTTTTTTTTTTTTTTACTTTGTTAAGCACATGTAGGAACTCGTTCTTCTCCACTTGGAGAAGATTTAAATGCTTATTTATTAATATGTGTTTCCCCTTGAATTGAATTAGCTTACTGCCCTGTAAAATGTGTTTTCTTTTTCATATTCCATAGATATATGAGATAATGCGCTGGATGTGGTTATTGTTTTTGAATGTGAAGTATGGTTTGACCATATAAATGAGCCAAGGGTTTCTTTGCATGGAAAATAAATGGCGAAAGTTTGAGATGTGGAAAGTGAGTTTCAGAAGGGTACTGCGTTAATGGACAACGTTCTCAGAAAGACAAGGTAGTACAAAACTAACTGGTTAATATGATGGAAATATAGGATTCTCCACTACACTAGGCATAACATCAGCTTTGGCATTACTCGGATTATCTCTATTTAACCTTGGTGGTACAGCTTCATTAAGTTGCTTAATTCCTGGACACCCATCATCAAGTACATTGTATTATTTGATGCTTTATCATCTTTTTCCCTCCATGAAAATGATAGATGTTATAACCTAGTTTCTTCATTAATCCGTTATCAGTTTGCAAATTGTAGCCAAGCAAGGTCAATAAGGGTTTGATATCCTGAGGTTTACACGAAGAGAATAAGGAGATAAAGCCCAATGTTTTATCCAAGGATGTGTAAGTTGCAGTAGGTTCTGTTTTCTTCTTAACATCTTTGATTGCTCAGAAGGATAGTATTTTGTTGCTATGGGTCAAATAGTGTGTGTTTTTGTGTGTGTGTGTGTGGTGGKGGGGGTACATAGCAAGTTTGATGCATATACAAAATCATGTGTASCTTTTCTGATTACTTTAATCCAATAAAAGCCCGTTTCCGAGTTTTCTATTTGTAACTAGTTAATCCCCTGTTCTGGAAATTGGCTTCTGTGCTTTCTATATACATTCTAGTGAAGAATAAGGCCTCAGAATAATCACATTCAAAAACTTGGCCCAAGCACCCCTTTTCACTAGAGAAGTCAATTAAGTTGGGTCTGCCTGATAGCACCCCAACTGATTATATTAGTTCTGGTTCTGAGTTTTGTGTCCTGATTATAATTGAGTCGGGACTGTTTTTTGCTGTTCTGATCTGATTATGTAATTAATGATATATAAGGATCTCATGTTTTGTTTCTTTTTTGTAATTTTTGTTATATTTTATATCTAAAACGATAAATTTAATAGACAGTATATAAGATATATATATACACACACACACATATACATACTCTTTTTGTTTAAAACATTTGTTTATCAACATATAAACAGCTTTCTGTTTAATATCATTTTTCTTACAGTTATATTATCAAAAACGAAGTCCCAAGTTGTTATATAATAGGTAATTATAGATGTCAAGTATAATTATTAATTATCCCAATTAATAATTTGTTCAATCCTGGGTCTTTTTGATAGAACTGATCAATAATCAGTTCAAGACCAGTCCAGCCTCTCCTGAACCAGACCCAACCCATTTAAGAACTACTTTTCACCCACTTTACCAAATGTCACAATCAATTGTTGTTTGACACCTTGTCTTTGATTAGGAGTGAGAAGTGCATATGCATTCTTCTGAACGCTTTTGGTATATAAAAGAGCACACAAAGTTAATCTGCAGGTTTGGAAGAGCACTGAACACAGGTGCATCACTGCTTCTGAAAAATGATAAGAGCTTCTTCTACTTTCTCTGCTTCTGAAAACAGAAACACCCATGAACACAGGGTAGCATCTTCTTCATGTCCTTTCTCTGCTGTTATGAACAGAATCAACACAAAAGGTTGCCCTGTTTATGTAAGCACAGTAGCCATGTTTTCTGTTATTTCTCCCAATCTGTTCTGGATGACTTTGGTCTCTTAACAATGTGGCATCTTAGTTAACTCCATCCACTAAAACCCTTTCTTGTTGTCCTTTCTCTCTTCTTGAGTGTTTTCTCAAAATTGTTGAACTTTTTATTCTTCATAGAATTTGGCTCGATTCTATGAGGTTTGGCTTGCACTTTGCATGTTAGGCAATAAGAAACACCATGGCCTTCAGTGTTCTTTTGCCCACTTAAACTACTGGTTCTGGCTCAGTTGGAAATGTCTGGGAGGTAACCCAGACTTGGAATCCAATACCTCCCACCATTACTAATCACCACCAATAAACTACCCAGCTATTATTGAAACTATCATCGTCAACATCATTTGCAGTATCACATTGTAATTACACTTTATATGGAATATGACATTCTGATCTACACTTGATGGGCCTTTACCAATCCACCTGAATGAGTAATCATTCTGCATCATGTTTCATGTTCCATATGATCCACCTTCATAAATACTGCCCCTCTTTCAGTCACTTGGTGAATTAAGCAGCCTGTTTCCTACATGCTTCTTCCAACCATCGCCAGCAGTCATGTGAATGCTTCCTTGAAGAACTTCGCTGAATCCCAATGGTGTTTTTCTATTATCTTCATGGAAGCTTTGCTTGTTAGAACAAACTAGGCAAAAGCTTTTGACCATCAGTTTGAACCTCTTCGGGTTTCCATTGCTAAGGAGAACGGTACTACGCTAGGTTGAAAAAACACCACTATAACAACTGCATTTCTATGTTTCCATTCTCTTGCAGGGGCATATGAGGTAGGGGCGTCAATCAACCGGTTTTAGATTCGATCCAAACCTTATCAAATCGGATTTGGATGGTCCATTATAATTATTGGATTGGGCCAATCCAAAATAAATTGGTTCATATTCTTATTGGTCTGAATTGGACCTAAACTAAATTTCCAACAATCCGATCATGGGGTCAAACCCTTGTCCAATTTGAAACCGACCAATAGGGATGGCAATTTCTACCCTACCCGGTGGGTACCTGCCCCTACCCTCTCCAACTGGGCAGGGTTTTTTTGCTTAAATGATTGGTTTTGGGGCAGATGCGGGTTTTGGGATTCTACAATCTATATGGTTACGGTATTAGGCTAAATCCAGCCCTCCCCGACCCGCATATTGTTGGAAAACATATAAAACTTTATGTACTAGGTGTTGATTTTAATAATATTTTGAATTTTATGTGAATAATAATTGATAGTTTGTGTTTTATACATGTCTTAATCAATCTTGATGTTTATTTGTGTTGTTTTACTTGTTTATTGCTTATATATGACAAGAAATAATAGGAAATTAGATGTGGGTTTTAAACTCAACCCGCCCCTACCCTTGAATGCAAGGAGGGTAGGGTTGGGGAGGGTTTTGCACTTTCATGTGTGGAGAGGGTTTGGATTCTCAAAATCCAACCCACTACGGGTTTTGGGGTGAGTATGAGTTGGGAGGTTTCGGGAGGTGGGTAGGGTTTATAATTTTAAAACCCTCTTTGAACCCGTCCCATTGCCATCCTTACCGATCAAAATTGAATCTGACATAAAATCACTTTTACGAAAACACTTTTACAAAAGCACTTTTATAAAAGTAACTTTATGAAAAATACTTTTACGAAAGCATTTTTACAAAAATACTTTTATGAAAGCACTTTTACAAAAGCAGTTTTATAAAAGCACTTTTATGAAAGCACTTTTACGGAAGTACTTTTATGAAATTATTTTTATAAAAGCACTTTTATGGAAGTACTTTTATAAAAGCACTTTTAGGACAATAAAAGCTCTTTTATGAAAGAACTTTTATGAAAACACTTTTACAAAAGCACTTTTATTAAAGCACTTCTACAGAAGTATTTTTATAAAAGTACTTTTATGAAGCACTTTTGTGACTTTCATAAAAGTGCTTTTTCAATGCCAAAAGGGTATATTTTTTAATTTTCAGATTTTCTTCATTTTAATATGTTTTTGTAATTTTTTATATGTTCTGTTTTATATAATTTTTTATATTTCATTCGGTTTGGATTGGATCCAATCCAATCCATTTACATTTTAATGGATTGGATTGGATTTGGACTTACTGGATTGGGTCTAGTCCATTTGTAAGTGGATTCACATTGGACTGGATCGGGTTGAACCAAATCTAGTCCAATTGACATTTCTAGAATGAGGTGATAATTATAAACATGGTACGAAACAAGCAACGAGAGCCTGGATTGGTTGCTCGACACACGGGTTAGATAACCAAAGTTCGGATCTGGGCCCATAATATAGTTCTAACCATGTGTCCGGATCAAACCTAGACTCATTTACACGGTGTTTGGACCAATGTCGTTTCCTGAGAGGCGTTTTCTCAGAAAACGGTGCTGCATAAGCATGTTGTTTTTTCAAAAAAAAAATGTTTTCTCAGGTTTTTTATTTGGTAACATTGTTGTTGCTGCTACATGGGCATTTTTTAGTGCCATGTCAATATATTGTTGCTAGCAACAGTAAAAAAAAAAAGAGGAAACACCTAAAAGGCATTTTCTCATACCACACCTTTCTTGATTTCCACGGTGTGGTTTGAGAAAACGTTTTTTGGAAAAATGGTTAATCAAATAGTAGACATTTTCCCAAAAAATGGGTTAATGATGTGGTGTTGATGTGATGCCGTTTTCTAAGGAAACGACATTGATGCCAAACACCTAATTAGGGGCTGTTTGGTTTCATTGTCATTTATTTAATAAATGTTTTACATGACACTTCCCTTGAAAAACAATAAAAACTATTGAATAATGTTTTTTGGAAGTTAGGTGCTATTAGGCACCACATAAGTTGAATAGTAAAAAAAATCGCCTAAGAGTTGGAGGAACGACCAAAGTTTTTCCAACATATGGCTTTTATACAACTCGAGAGCAATATTTTTTTATAAATGATTTAACCAAACAATATTTCAAGCTCCTCGAAGAGAAATGCCTATTTGATAGTTAAGTTGGTGCCATTTTTCGTATAAATGGCAATGGAACCAAACACCATTTTCACCTTGTAAAAACTTTTTTAACGGGAACATCCATTGACCATTGGTGGAAAAGAGACCTTGAACTGGAAAGGAATTAAGGAAAAGGAAAGACATCTCTTATATCTAACAAATTGAATGTCGAACTGGAAAGGGGTATGGTTCTGGTGTTTTCTTGCTATAACCTCAAAACTGCTAAAACTGGCAAGTTATCATCGAACAAATTTGGGTTTGCTTA